AATCGTATGGTTTACCCTTGGCCAGCGATTATTACAATGAGAACATGTTGCTTTATAGTATCCTGAATTCACTTGCATACCTTTAATAACATACTGTCATACTTTATCAAATCTATAACCACCTTTTCTAGCTTTTTTTGGTTGCGGTTCAAGTTCTGTTGATATGGAATTATTGTTATCAGTGATATCATGAATATTGGAATTGAGTTTTAAAGAATCTTCATCCTCATGTGATGTTTTACTCTGTGAAGACTGCTTACTTATTGTTGTTATGACTTTTAAAGAATGTTGATTTACAATTTTAATAAAATTTTAATCTTGAAAAATTAAATTTTAACAAGAGCACTTACTTATTTTTCTAACCCAATGTAAGCTTATATCATTAGATTATATCATATTATACATGCATTCTCAATTAGAGTGCTAACATTTATTAGATAATATTTTAGAGGATGGGAGTAAAGCCAAACCTTACCTCAATATAATACTAAAATTTAATTGGTTAATAAAAATATTATCTGGAGGGAAGGGGTAGAGCTCTATAGTAAATGAATATTAGGTAATAAATATTAGAGCTCTTATATACACATTAATATTTAATTTGTAACTAAGGGTATCTTACTTACTCAATAGATCGGAAATAAATTTCTAATTAGTCAGAAATTAAATAAATTAACCAAGTGGCTGCTATTTTGATAAACAGATCAGCAAATTACAAGCCATCTTTTTTCTTCAAAATTTATCATTAATAAAGGTCACTTAAGTATTATTTTAATATATTTATATAATAAACAAATTCTAAAAAAAATAGCTATTTTTTAATGTTCAAAGGTTTTAAAGCAAATAATCGATATAATGATGTGAACATAATAAATTCAACCCATTTTTTAACTTTTACTCAACTGTAAAAATACTATTTCTGTTTTTCATTCACCTAAATTTAAGCAAAGACAATCCAAAACTCAAAGATTTTGGGTAATATATTTAACAGATAATGAAGTAACTTTTTTCGAAAATATTTTCATTTTATCTATACTATTTTCAATGCAAAATAGCAACTACAGAATTATTAAAAAAATTTTTTTTTAAAAAACATTTATTTGTTTTTGCAAAGCAATCTTTGCTAACAAATCTATAGATTAATTCTGATATTGTTGCAAAATTTAATCGATAAAATTGTTAAAAGTAAAGCTAGTGAAACTGAAATTGAAGCTTTGGCAACTTATTGAAAAATAGGAAGAGTATATTCAAGCATTTAATTCTATAAATCTTGAGCATTATCATGATCATTATTTAATTTATTAGAATGCTTGAGAACACCTTAACACTAATGTTAAACAGAAGCGAAATAACATAATTTTATTATACTAACCTTATGAGTTATAAAGTATCAAGATGCAATTTATACAGTATATATAGATTAATATACGAGGCTTTAACAGACCCTGATTTTATACAGATATTTTTTAAAATTTAAATTATAATAAAATTACTATGAATATTAGCAAACAGGTAATAAACAAGTATATAATTTGTAAGGAGTTTTTGATTTTAATTATATATATACAATACATATAATAAAATTACTACGATATCGAAAACAGGTAATGAGTAGTGTTTAAAATAATCTGGCTTAAATAGGCTTATAAGCTATGTAATCTAAAATAGGCAAAAATTATGCAAAAAGTGCATATACATGCATAAATTATGCAAGAAGTATATAATATGCAGAGGTTATATAAGAAGTGCATAAATAGACAAAAATTATATAAGAGATACATTACATATGCAGGAGTTAAGCAAGAAGTACATATATACAGGGTTATGCAAGGGGTGCAAGTGAATTCAGGATACTATAAAGCAACATGTTCTCATTGTAATAATCGCTGGCCAAGGGTAAACCATACGATT